CTGCTTGACACCAAACACTATGTTGGGCCCAGAGACCCTGACTGTGATATATTGAAAACTCTAAAATAAGCAAAGGTCTCTTGAAAAGGCATTTTCAATAACACAACACTGTGAAACCTTCACCTCTAGTGCCAAAAAGTCAATACATCTGACACTACATTTTGAGAACACAAAAATTTGCTATGAGTCAGAGTTCATGAATGATGGATCCAACTTACATTCAAACTCCACTACACAGTCATTACTTCCTTCTTACCAAGACTAGGTAAATGAGAGATCACATTATTTTTTTCCCTCTCCATGCTCATGAAAAGGGTACAACATCACAAAAACAATTTGCTTTTTTAAAGATCAAGCAATCCAGCAAAAAGAGAGGATGAGGATGGGATTGTTATGCTCCTTAACTGCAGAGATTGTTAGAAAAAAATTAAAGCAATTAAGCTGCTTAAAGAAACAACCATAAAACAGAAACACCATAATCATTCCCTACCCTCATACTCAATGTCAGAAATAAGTTCTGAAACAACATCAGTATAATTTTAAAACTACTTAAAAGACTTTGTTTAAAACAAATTAAAAAGTGTTTCTTTGCATAGAACACTTCCTATTGCTTAAAACTTACAACATTTCTTAGCTTTCCCTGAGCTTTGCCTTAGAGTTTCCCTAGATAAGCTTCCAACTACACTGCAAAACAGAACTGTTGGCCAGATACCTGTTGGCCAGATACCTGGGCTTGACCAAACGGTTTGGCAGAGGACTGAGAGTGGAAATCAAAAGACAAAAGCAAGCTTTCCATTCCCATGATCCTTGGCCTAATCAGAGATTGAATCAATCCTCAAATTTAATTTACAACATACTAAGAACTGATAGAAGTTGTTGGCTGGGTTAGTTCACAGCAGTGTCCCTGACTAAAGATCACCACAGCACTGAATTTCAGTGTCCTTACCTCTCTCACACGAAAGTTCTCTGTGTTATGGACAAGCTGAGAAGAGGGGGCCCAAAGCCAACAATGCCAGCCTTGTGTCACATCACATTACTTCGGGATTTCTAAACTCACCTATAAGGGCAGCTTTTTAACTCTATGCACCAATTAAGCAAAAATCAAACCTTATCTTTAGGATCATTTTAATGGAAACTATATGCCATGGAAAATACTGCTATAATACAAGTTTGTGAGCAGAAAGAGAGAAGAAAAAAAAAAAAGACAACACAAGATTGAATATTAATATGTATATTATCTTGCATTAACAACTCTTTTCACCTATTGTTCAAGAGTGTAATAGACACTACACAAACCAAGTTGACGCCGTAGAAAAGATCAAGGTGAGAGGCAATAGTTAGCATTGCAGTTTTGGGTATGTGTTCCATACAGATTGGAAACCACAGAAGATGATAGTGAAGGCCCTTAAAGATTATGTCACTGAAACCACAAGTTAATAAAAAAATTCAGTCTTCAAGGGCTGTAACAGATGACATCTTTAAAGTCAGCAAATGTTCTCTCTTTTGACAAGGACAACTCCATTGTTTAAAGCAACACCAAACTAGAAACTATGCATCTACATAGCTCTACACACACACACACAGTTTTTTAAAACTACAATATCAGAAGTTATTTTATTTACGGCTTATAAAATCCAGCTGTGGACTACAAAATTATATAGAGTGTACTAAGGTAGGAAATAAATAACTAAGCAAAAATGGGCCTTTACTGACAATATTTTTAATTTTGCTTCAGCAAGTTTTCCTCCTTTTTATTTAAAAAAATAAAAAATAAAAAAAGATAAAAGCTTAGTTTGTTGAAAACAGTATAAAGCTTTCTTTTCCTGAAGATTCTTGCAAGGAAAGTTTGGCAAGTTGGGAAATCTTTGGTAGTTCTGACGTTTTTGACTCTACCTGAATAACTACAGTAAAACACTGACTAATACTGAGAACCAGGAAAACAGTACTTCTATGGAAAAATATAAATTTGCATGTGGTATCAAAGAAGTGAGTTAACAGATCAAAAGATTAATTTTTCCACCTCTCTTTGTACCCCCTCCAACAACCAACGCACTCCTCCTGCCAGCAGACAGTACAAACTGAATGCACTGCAATCTATACTTTTAATAGACTAATAGCCTATTACCATTCTGGATACTGGTTTGAAGCTATCCAGCTCCTGACTGGAAAATTCATCTACACTGTCTCCTGTCACAAGTGGGGGAAAAAAACATAGCTAAGCAATGAGATAGCTAGAGAATACAGCAGTCAGTCCTGATTACTGCAACAGTTCCCAAAAATTCCCAATTCTCAAAACTATGCAAAAATTTCCATGTCTTCTTTTTAATCCAAACACTTTATTCAAATACCAAACCTTTTGTTACCAAATGGACCGCATCACGAACTGGCTTAATTTGCTTCTGAAATGCTGATCTAAAAAACACCGGAGAACCATGGAGGTGCAAAATTTTACTTGATTGAGAAACTGCAAATTATAACCAAATAAATAATCACAAGGTACAATGAGCTTTGTAGCTGAAATTCAGTATTTATAAAGCTAATGGATCTGTGGAAACAGAGGATCAGAAGCCTCTAACATGAAGATGCATTGAGGTTAAAAACAAAGTGAAGATTAATTTCTTCTCCCTCTTCACAAGGATCTAGCATATTTGCTTTCTGCATCCCAGAGCTTAGTATAGCTTTGACCCTGTATAAATAATTCATTTTTTCTGTTCTCTGAACAGGCATTCAGAATTCCTTGTTTGTTCTGTATTACTAAGTCAGGTAACAACAGAGATAATGATGCTCCACCCTTTGACCATGAAAGGAAAAAAAAAGTAATTCACTTATGTGGGAAAACAGAAAGGACAGCCAACTAGAATTAAATACAATCAGGCCTAATTAAGGCAGATGAGACCAAACTGGAGTATTCTCTTTTACCATCAAGTTTAGATGAACTGCTATACAAGAACCAAATAAGGCCTATTCCTGTGACGTTTGTCAACTAGCATTTCAGCTAATACTCTTCAATATGCTCTGAATTAAGAAGAGAAGGACTGTTCCAAGGCATTAGAACTGTAAGTTTTTTATTCCATTTAAGAAAATTACTATTAAAGTACATTTATGGAAGAGAAAAAGATGCTTTAATCACCTAAAATCTATTGCAAACTTATACTTTATTTTTACTTAGTTATGTCAACACATCACAGCCAAAATTAAGAGCTCCACTATATAAGGTAAGATGGTCCTTCTTGAAAAGTTTACAATTCAAATGGACAAGATGGAGAAAGCAAGAGACAAAGAAAATCCCTACTTGATAACATGAAAATGAAGCATCACTACAAGATCATGGGGAAGGAAATTAATTTAACTAAAAACTGAAACAAGATTTCTTGAATAACGTAAGAGCTATCCTTTCTTTGTGACAGTTGTTCTGTTACATTTCAGATTTATTAGCCACATTAGGAGACAACAGTTCCTGGAAAAACTGACATAAAAATAGGATGTAGGTGAAAATACTCTAAATTCTTGCAGAATCATATACCAAGGCAGCAATTCTCTCAAGACGGAGCTCAAAGTATATATTTACTATTAGCCCTCTACCAATATTGTATGTGTTAACTGCTCCAGATCTATTTACTGTTGATGAACAGGTAAGATAAGTGAAGCTCAGAAAATATGTATCTAGAGCTTCTTTAATAAAAGCATAAGCAAGCATAAAAGATCACCTTCTTTAAGAGCCTGAGCATCCAAAACCCACTGCAATAAGGTCTGGCTGTATCCTCTAGCTATAGGATTAAGCCCTGTAATGTAGTTTTTATATGCACTGTAGAATTTTTCAGCATGCATGACACACTACACCCCACTCTAGTGTGTATTCTGTGCTGAAGTAGTCTAGGTACAATTCAAAGAAATTGAAGTAAAAAAAACCCCAAAACAAACAGTTCTTAAAGAATTGAGTGCAGCTACAATTTTACAATTTTATGATAATAATTTTCACCAGTCACTCATGTCTGCTTTCTTGGTTCACTGAAATGACCTTAAAATGAAAATGAAGGTGCACTATAAAACGTTTTCTTCTTCAATGGTCAGAATATTTAACCTAACAGATACTGAATGTTAGTCAGCATCACATGACACAACTAATAACTAATTCCTCTCAAGTTATTGTTGATAATTGCACTGCCCAAAACAGCAAGGGGTGCAAAACATTATTTCATACAAAGTGATTATTAATTGTCATGTCACTTTAAAATACCATTTGGTAACTAACAGTAACTGATAATTTTATTTTTCATAGCTTCTTAAAATATAATCAAGAACAACCACCTTTCTCCTAATACTTGAATGTCTATAATCAACTCCAAGAGCTTTTGCCAAGCTCTTTCTCTTTTGTTTTGCCATCTGATAGATGGACATCTAGAGGCATAATCATTTGACCGCATTAGAAAGTCCACAGTAAAAAATTTCTGTATTGTCATAGCCACGCTGGAAGATATGAAACAAAACAATGTCAATACTCATGTTGCTTTATTTACAGTTCATCTCCAGAGCCCTTTCAAACCAACACATTGCTTTCTTGCAGGATTATAATATCATGTATTAGGCAGCAGCTGATAATGTTCGGAGTAACAGCAAACTTTTACTTAATGCAAATGCCAAAATGAATAAAGCAAAAAATGATGGGCAAGTTAGTGGAAAAAGCTGTAATGCAAGTCAATTTTTTAATCACAAAAAAAATAGCATACTAGAGAATGTTAATGAGCTGAAAGTCCCCTGGGACCACTTTTACACATTCTGCACCATTTTGGTGCCCCTGCTCAAGAAAACTGGTTTTCTTTAAAGAGATCTGGTTGAAGACACATTATTTTTTCAACGTCATAGTAAAACTTGAAATCTGAAAATTTATCTTATTCATCAGGTTACTTTATTCACTTACTCTTAGCCCCTCAGAGTTATCAAACTAGAAGTAGAGAAGACAAAACGATCACAAGTCACAAAGTAAAAAAATTCAACAATACCTTTAACCTCTTCATAAATGCTATCATCTATTGCTTCACTGCTCACTTGTCCAACATCATCATATTCCTCTTCCTCCTCCTCAGGAATAGTATTAGATTCCATATCTACGTAACAGCAGTTTTAAAAGTTAACTTTTGCTAGAAAAGAATGCCTAAGCAGAAATTTATGCAAAATGAAAACACAATTCTTCTATGGCCTGGTACTTACAGTATATTCTGTTTATTTTCTTATAACATTCATAAGGGAGAGCTTTCAAGCTACATAAAGAAAAAGCAAAAATCTTGCAGAGGGAGAAAGCCATACATAAGCAACAACATGACTGAAAAGTAGGACTTGCTATTCAAAACTCGGACCAGTGGGAATAGTACACAGACAAATGTGACAGATATGTTAATGGACAGAACTACCATCACTAAGCAGTATTGGCAATTTAGGCTACTGCTCTACTGGCTGGCTTACCTTGAATTACAAATTTGACTTGCTGTACCCATTCCTCTGCTTCTTTGGGAGTGGCAGCTGTAAACTATTAAACATTTATTAATAACTACTAGCAGTAATGACAAAAACACAACTAGAGTTTCATTAGCAATAAAAAAGAGGGACTAGCATTCTCGTCACTTCCTCAAGAAACCATTAGTAATTCTTTTCATGTCTTCTGGTACTTTTCTTGCAAGGATGCTTCTTATAATGTACAGCTAATTTTGACAAATTTACGTAATTGAAGGAGAGGATGATGGATTTGAAACTCTGATCAGCAGCTGGCAGCTGTGCAGAAAAAAGCTGCTTCTCTTCATCAATGTCAAAGCCAGAACTGATGAACAAAATTTGCCCTTGACAATTAGAAGACACCCATGAATTTCTTTAGACTGCTGGGTACAGTTTTCTTAAAAATGTTCTTGTCAGACTCCAACACACTACCTGACAGCTTAATTAACTGGCTTTCAACTGCAATCTCAGATATTTAAAACTTATTAAACTTACATTCCATATTGATGTCTAGCTGATAGATCTCTGAATTGCACAGCTGATATGTGCCTTTATGTAGATTTCCTTGCAAAGCCATGACCAATACAATGTGTATTTAACAATGATATATATTTTAACTTTTCTTTTACTATTTAATTCATCCAAGAAATCATGCAGACATACTATACAATAGGTATTAAAATGCTAACACTGAAAAGACCAATAGATAAAGATGATAGATTTCCTTGCTCTTGTCCAAAAAGATAATATTTGAACACATACATACATATTTTAAATCAGATTTTTTTGTTAATATATGAATATACAATATAAGCAAGTGAGGGTTTCCTTTTTTCATTAAGTTGTCAGTGAAAGTTGTTTTACTGAAATGTTAATTCAGTAACTGGAATTGTAACGGCTTTATCAATTTAATTTCAAGTCAACATAAAAAAGTCCAACCTGATAAATGCGCTTATCAGGAGCGGAGATTTCAAAACAGCAATCTTTCTTTGCATCCTTCCGAAGGTTATTATTCATTCTGATGGTATAGCCCTCTAAGGCAAATTCACCTTTCTGTTGTTTGTCTGTTGGAGATAAAAAACAAAGTTAGAGCTTCATTTACAACAGTGAACCTAAGTGGCTCAGCAGGTTATCGTTTATTCAGATTTTGTTCTCTATTTCATTAACTTTACAAAGAACAGAGGTTTTTAGCAAAATGATTAAGTGATGCTTCTGGAGATAAAGCTTTATTTTAAAGGAAGATGTACACAAAAGTACATTTTTCAGTAGGATGCCTAAGGAACTCCATAGGGGGATGTTTGCAGATGGTGGTCTTATTTAGTAAGAAGTGCATGTTACGACTCTTGTATCTAGGGAAAGCCAGGAACTGGAACTTGCAAGACACGTTTCCTATAAATCAGTGTCTCTTTCAGGTTCAGTAAACCAATGGGAAAACCCGTCTAGCTCAGAACTTGTGGAGCTCCCTGCTAAACTAACCACTTCACTCAAAAAATAAACTTCAAACTCCTTTTTAAGCAATTGGAAAAGCTTCTTTTCACATTCTCCCACCCACTCCCAGATGTGCCTCCTTTCCACATGGCAGAAATACAGAATGAATTTTGTTGTAAATTCAGGTGTGTGTTCCAAAAGCATTTCTCTCAACACAGCAAATGTTTAATTATCCAATAAAAGTACTGAGCCCTACCACAGTTTATTATGTAAAGCCATGTGGTTGGTTTAAAGACAATTCTACTTTTCAAAGGATCTGGTTTATAAAAGTATCACTTAGAACAGGCCTGAGTTTAAATGTACTGCATGTGGGCAAGCGGCACCTGTGCGCTCCTTCTGAGCTCTTCAGACAAACCCTACATCTGATTTTATGAGCTCTGGAATGTTTCAGTGAATATTAAAAACAAACCAAAAAAGTAAAAGCAATTCAGTTTTGCAATTCCTGTAGATCACAGTGCAGCATTCAAGCAAAGATAGGGATCGTCAGTCACATTTTGTTCAGGCAAACAAAGAACAAAGTGCAGTTGCAAATGAAAGAAAAATGCCATTAAGTGTGGGGGTTTTATCCACAGTAGAGAAAAGCATTAATTAACAATAAGCATCAGGCACAACAGCAAAACTAGTTTAAGTACTGCTGAACAGAACTTAGGTGCAAATCAAGCATCCATTGCTTATGTTTGTCAAAAAAGAGGAAAACTTAATATAGTAGATAAAACAGGAAAAACTACAATTTTCAACATAATTTTGTAATCTTTCTGGAAATTTAATAGGAAAGCAAATCTTTTTTTCCACTCATGAAAGGGCAAAAGTTGGCTAACACAGCAACATAAACATCAGTGAACGTAAGGGAGGTCACCATACAAATACTCTAGCTAGTAATCTTACGTGCACATAGACACAAATTCTTTGTCCTTCCACCTTTTTATGAACTCTCACCCAGGGCAAGTAAATACCAAATAACACAATTATATGAGAAAATCCAGGGCACTGTTCTATTTTCTCTTCTAGTCCCTTCCCCTACAGTAAGTTTTATTATGTCTTAATTAAGTACTGAAGATACAGTACTAATATTTTATATTTGCTCAATACTCCACCCTATATCAAACAGCATACAGATTCATGGAATTGCACCAAGGCAGATATTAGAAATAGTAACTTGAATAGGTTAATAGGTCCCCTTTTAATGAAATTCATTTCTGCCTAGAAATTTTATTGTTCCCTCACTTGTGACCTCAGGGAGAAGATGACGTGAAACGCATTAATTTCTCACTCTCCCATGCTGGAAGTTTATCAAATGCCAAGAAGATAGGAGCACACAGACAGAATAAACGAACACTAGGTTCAAAAGGTAAAATCATTTTGTCAAGATAAAAGTGAGGCAAGTATTCAAATTTAGTCTCTTGGATTATTCCTGAGAATGCTTCTCTGTGACATGGATGATGCCTTTTATGGTAATATAGTTTTAACAGAGCTTATCTCAGATGATCTCTGTACTGGTACTTGTTCTGACAAAGAACACTACAGTTAAAACACAAAGATGCTGTACTTTGGTAGGGGAATGCAGTGCATGGTATCCATATTGCATTTGATTGTTTTATTGTTTATATGTTCTTTGTCTTATCTCTCTGAGCACGCTGTGCCAGTGTTAAATTAAAATTACCTGTATGCACCATGGAAAAAAAAATACATCCTTTGCTATTATATTCTTTTACCGACAGACTAGTCATAGCATTGCTACTTTTGCTTCTAATTGCCTGTGTAGTAAGTGCCCCTGAAAAAAGTCCAGTGTAGCATTATGTGTATGCTAAAAATATTGACCACAAGGAAATTTTAAGATGAGACGCTTCACAGCCCTGACCCAGAACCCATTAAAGTTGAAAGACTCAGTATGCATTCACACTCCCTGTGGCAGAAAGCCAGAGATAAGACCTAGTATGTCCTAAGAAATGGCACCACAAATACAGAATGGCAGGACACAGGTCAGCTATAGCACAGCTGCATGCTCTGATGGTGACAAGCAATGGAGGTCTACAAATCCCAGTTGTTCTTGCAGAATACCCCTTTCCAGGTAGGACTGGAGACCAACCCCATCACCTGATCACCGTGGAGCAAACCATGACTCATGGTAGCTGTTTGGTCAGGCACCGTAGTCAGGAGCAGGCATGAAGGTAGAGCTATCTTGTGACTGTGACTCGGTGACCACCTCAACTTAATTTATCAGCAAAGGCTTGCAGCTAAATGGGTATGCAGACAGACTTGGGCTTTCAGCTTAAAACTGCCCTGTGAAGTTAGTGCCACAGTGACTTCTCTGAACTTTCACATTCAGAGTGACCTTGTTTATATCAAAAATATTTTCTCGAGACTGTGCTTTAAGGACAGTTAAATAGTTTCTTAATGTTTAAAAACTTAAATTGTTTTTTATGGTGGGAGCCTTAAATGTAGCTTCAGGAAGCTCATGTACATTATGGAGACTTCACTTTCATTTGAACACCCGAATCAGAACCAGAGTTTTGCCTAAGCAGGAATACAACAGCATATTTACGAGGAATTAGGGAGACACATGCAGATGGAACACACTTCTCTGAAGAACGATAACATTCTTGCTGCCTCTCATTTTCTCAAGATAGGGCTTTGCAATTCAACAATGGAAAATCTATAAGCTGTCCCAGAACAACAAAAAACGGAATTGCAAAAAGTATAATACTATCAGTCTTGTAAAAACAAAAAACATGAACATCATCAAGCACAAATTGTTCCACAATTAAGTCAAATCCCATTTCAGAATAAGCTGTTGTTTGCTCTCATCTTCTCCTCCTCTGCCCTTCTCCCCATACAACACACACAATAAAAAAATAAATCTGGGTCTGCGTAGACCATTTTGCATCAGGAAGTTAGAATTGTAAAAAGCTAGTGTAACAGAGTGGAGAGTCAGGCACTAAGTATTAAAAAAGTCAAAACTAGTACATAGATATTTGAGAGAAATAAATATGGGGGACTATATTTAAAATAGAGAAAATACAGATCTGAATTAAATTTGAGAGTCACTTTAAACATTTCTCTTAAACATAAACTTCATTCATCCTAAAAATAGTGAAATGTTGTTAACAACGGAAACAGGGCCAATATTATATTGGTAAAAAGAGTCTCAAGGGACGAAGAGAAAAAGTGTTTTGAAGTAACCTTGCATAACTGAGTCCATGGGAACTTTTAAAACAAAGAAGGGTAAACCTTCAATGGGATCTTGAAATGATTGGGTTGTAAATTTGAGGCCTAAGGCAATGTGCCCATATTATTAGCACATGTAAAAAGAATTAGTGCATTCTGAAGAACAGAGAAGACTGAATAGTAGAAAGGAAAGAGGTTACAAAGAAAGGCATAAGGAACAAAGGCAAACAGAAAGATTTCAGAGAGTGATAAAGTATTTATAGATACTATTAGAATCTATAATTTAACTCTCTTCATCTTGAAATTAGGACCCTGTAAGATCTTACGGTTTACATGGCTTCATGCTAAATGCAGTTTCACATACTTTTCCATATGCAGGATGTCTGCTTTCTAAAAATAGTAAGTGTCAGTATGTCCAAAATGATAATTCCTTTTCCAGCTTTTGGAACAGTCTTTTCCAAATGCATGCATAGTTCTTCCCTTTTAGACAGCAGATCTGAAATGCAATCAGCTGCTGGTTTGGGGGTTGGTTTTTTTTCTTACCTTTAATCTAGTCCTCTAAAAAATCTAAATTTAAAAAATGAAGAAATGGAGACTTGAAATGCATTAGTTATGGCACCAGTTAGTTTATATTCAATTCACAGAATCACAGAATCATTTAGGTTGGAAAAGACCTTGAAGAACATCCAGCCCAACCATTAACATAACACTGACAGTTCCCAACTACACCATATCCCTAAGCGCTAAGTCGACCCGACTCTTAAACACCTCCAGGGATGGGGACTCCACCACCTCCCTGGGCAGCCCATTCCAACACCTAACAACCCCTTCTGGAAAGAAATGCTTCCTAATATCTAGTCTAAACCTTCCCTGGTACAACTTGAGGCCATTACCTCTTGTCCCATCACTTATTACTTGGTTAAAGAGACTCATCCCCAGCTCTCTGCACCCTCCTTTCAGGTAGCTGTAGAGGGCGATGAGGTCTCCCCTCAGCCTCCTCTTCTCCAGACTAAACACCCCCAGTTCCCTCAGCCGCTCCCCATACGACCTGTGCTCCAGACCCTGCACCAGCTCCGTTGCCCTTCTCTGGACACGCTCGAGTCATTCAATGTCCTTTTTGTAGTGAGGGGCCCAAAACTGAACACAGGAATCGAGGGGCGGCCTCACCAGTGCCGAGTACAGGGGTCAGATCCGTTCCCTGTCCCCGCTGGCCACGCTACTGCTGACACAAGTCAGGATGCCATTGGCCTTCTTGGCCACCTGGGAACACTGCTGGCTCCTGTCCAGCCAGCTGTCAATCACTCCTCCCAGGTCCCTCTCTGACTGGCAGCTCTCCAGCCACTCCTCCCCAAGCCTGTAGCGCTGCTGGGGGTTGTTGTGGCCCAAGGGCAGCCCCCGGCATTTGGCCTTATTGAAACTCCTCCAGTTGGCCTCAGCCCATGGCTCCAGCCTGTCCAGGCCTCTCTGCAGAGCCTCCCTACCCTCGAGCAGATCAACACTCCCACCCAACTGGGTGTCATCTGCAAACTGACTGAGGGTGCTCTTGATCCCCTCATCTAGATCATCAGTAAAGATCTGCTTATACTCAAAAATTATTTTGTAAATAACACACTGTCAATGGTGAGCATGCTCCTCAAGGTCTGAGTTTAACATTCTCATAGCAGAAAATTCAGTACTCATTAGATATGATGCCTTTGATTGCCATCGATTGACAACGAAGTCTTACTGAATATTCACAATTCCTGAAGATTTCAATTATAGATTCTGTCAAAAGGAAAGTCTAAACTAAACAATGATGTTTGTCTTTCCTATATGGTTATTCAGAGAGGGAGGGCTAAGAGATGGAGGTCTATAGCGAAAATCAAAATCATACTTCAGTAGCTTTCCATTTGGGTTTGTATATCTTTTCTTACTTCTAGAAGGTGAAATTTGCAAGCTTAGCATGTGTCAGAGATTCCAGTAGCCTGGTTAGGCAAGTCAGTAGGACAGACTTGCAAATGCAACTCTAACTCGGCTTCCCTCTCACTTAATATTGCCCAGTCACTAAGTTCTTCAAAAAACAAAAACACAAAATAAAACAAAAAGCCTCCTTTGCACAAAGAGAAGTAATCCATCCATTGGCTTGGCCATCACTACCTTACTGTTCAGAGAAATACAAAATTTTCATGTCCATGTTAAAAATAAAGAAAAAATATTTTAAAAAATAAACTTGGGACTTTTCTAAAAGCCTCTGAATTATCCCCCTCTTCAACATCATATTGCTGGCAGGCAGGCTGATACCATTTTCAAATTATAAAAATGGAAATAGATTTTTAGTGCCCATTAACGGGGAAAAAATTACCATGATGATATCAATTACTGTCTTGCTAAACATTTAGCTGATCTCTCCAGTTTGCTGACAGAAGAGCATATAACATTGTGGCCTAGTAAGGAAGAAGTAATGAAGCCATGAATTCATTCATTTATAAAGCAACAAATTAACTTTCCTTCTTCTCATGCACTTTGAGGTTTGAAAGGTTAGCCATACCACCTAGGTGCCTGAGCACACATGAACTGCCACAGATCATACAGAAAAACAATAGGCAAACAGGGCACCCAGCTCAGGATGCAACCACATGGAAGCAAAGAAAAAAGAAGGACTATAAAAGGTTTATGGAAGGAAAGACTATGAAAAGGAGGACCAGGCAAGCTTCTGGAAATCCAAGCCAGCTCTGCAATTTGAACAGGCTTCACTGCAACGTTTGTGAGCCACATGCTGGCAACAGACATTGCAGTACAAGCACAAAAATACACATTTCCCACAATACCTATTTCTGGCACATAATTAGGTGAAAACTTTAAGCCTTGTTCCTTCATCTACTCCACATATCATTGATTAGGGAAAAAAAAAAAAAAAAGTAGGTGATTTGCTTTAGACCTGTCTGTATTGCAGGGACAAATAATAATTGTTTCGCTACCCAGTGCTGAACCAAATGTACAAGAAAACAGAGGAGAAAATAGGGAAACAAGACATTGATTAGCCTGCAGACATCACAACTGTTAAAAGGATGCCTGTAATCTCTTAAGTAAACACACACACATATACACAAACACAGCCATTTACTGTCTTTTCACAGGCTTCAGTTTGTACTATATTCTTCTGGACTAGGCCTCATATTTTTCATCATTCAGCTCTGAATAAATTACTCTGAAACTTCTCCTTACATGCATTTGTTAGCCTTAAAGACTTCTATATTTCTTTCTTTCCCAATGTAAAAAGGAGAAAGTTAGAATAATTAAAAGTATTTTGGAAACAACAAATCCACACAATCTAATAAAAAGGCATCCTAAAGCCTTACATTTAGCATTCAGTTACATTTACAAATATTTAAGCATGAAAATCAAACCTTGGCCAACAAAATACACACTCTCCAGACACAAAATATCCATCACAGATTATTCACCTATGTGCGTATTTTTAAAACGGGACGCAACACAAAACAAGGCAGGCAGGACCTAGAAATCCCTGCTGCCTCTGCATTACGTCCCACAACACACAGGCACTAACACTCCATTACCATTAATGTGACACAGGCAGCAAGACTGAGCATGTATGGAATCTCCGTCTCTCTTCAAACCACATTCACATTGGGGAATTTTCCTGTTGTGTGAATCAGCCCTGGAACCTGTCAGAAACCAAGGCCCAGCTGATACAAAACATCTGCAGACACTGCAGAGGCTAGGGCAGACTGGCATCGTTTAGACAGATGCCATCCCAATAATTCAGAGGTGGCAGCAATTTGCATGAAGCCACCCAAATGCACACTTCGCTGTTCTACAGGCAGTAAGAACACACGCTGATTTTCTACATGATCCAAGTCATAAAGGATCACAGCAAAAAAGGGGGGGCCCAATATGACAGCATACTACAGCAGGTACCACTGCTGGCTGTAACAGGGGGAGTGAAAACAGTTCTAGGTTCTTCCAGTGACTAAATGCCAGATCTCCTCGGGACTGTCTCATCGCACACCTCGTCCACGCTGACCATCTGCAGCTAAACAGCGTGATAAACAGCAGCACATACATTCAGAACCAGTACGATGACAGCACAGTTTCAACAGCAAACTGGTTTGCCACAAAACTACAGCAGTCTCTGGTATCCAGTTTCTGCACAGTGATAGAGATTTGCTTCTGCACTGGAACAAGGAGCTTGACATACTATGTCATTAGAGGGCTGAAGAAAGTACCTCTGACAAGTCTAGAAAAAAGCTTTCTTCTTCAAAGGCAAGTTCTGGAGTGACTGTTCATCACCCCAGATCTGCAATATGAAATGATTCCACCACGCTGCGCTAGTTTTTTCACACTAACAGCACCACTCACATGGAGGTAGGGCAGATGTATCATGCATTTGATTTGTTTGCTTCCTCCATGACCTACTGTTTGGAGTCCAGCCATGCCTATGCAATTCCTATGGACTACGTGCCTTCATGGACCATGCACCTCTCCCACATCATGAGGTTACAGTTAGGAGATTGTTCCCCAAACAAGACTGCAGCCTACAAAAGCTGTAAATGTATAAGCCAAAGCATCTGTGTAAAGATCCATAAAGGAAAGAGATCCCACAGTATAACACAGTCAATTCCTGACATGACACCAACCTGTTGAGTGCTAGGGAACATGCTCCTGTGTATTTTATCTTTGAGCATAGGTATTAGAAGTTACAACACAGCCTTGATAGGTTGTTGCAAAAGAAAAAAAAAAGGGTGGGGATGGAAAAAGAGCAGGTCGGCAGTTTTACTGTCTTAATCCAAAGACCATATGCTAGAAAGTATAAATAATGATTAGCACAGACACAAGAAAAAAAAATGTCAAAAACACCAACCTTGTTTTTCTCCAAAAAGCTAGCAGATAAAAAGGCAAAGATTTAAAAATGCAGAACAATCTTTAAGAACTAGCAATATAGTCTGACAAAAAAACCCGCCATTTTTTAAGTACTAGGTAATGTGTAACTATATATAAACAAAAGCACGAGATAATTTTCCAGAGAAAGAAATAAATGATCACTGACAAATCAATGTTATGCCACACCTCCTCAAAATTTTTTAATAAAGATTGTTTATGTTTTTGAAGCTTGATCAACTTGTAAATCCCAAGTAAATAAGAAAAGGAAACATTTAGTAGATTTACTAACAAAACCCTGGATACAGAAAATATGATGGGAAACTGTGGCAAGATGAAAACTGGACTTACAATTAGACTCTTGCCTTATTTATTTTGTTTTTAAAGAGAGGGTGAATTTAAATGACACAGCATACTGAGGAATAAAACAAACTGGACCAAATTAAATTTGTCTTTGAATAAAAAACCAAAATAACTACTACCTGCACTAATCTCAGGTAGAGTCACACAAGCATAAGCAGAAGGAAAAAAAGCTTCTGTGGAAAGTTTGCCCAGGAATAAGTATTTTTGGGGGGAAAAATAGACATAATTGGACTTTTTAAATTTCTCAGATACATTTCTGTATGATCTGTTTTACCCTTAAACATCAAATGAACTTGGTACATAATTTAAAGTATGTTTTGACTGTCAATTTTAGAATTTCAAAGTGATATCCCAACATTTATGCCAGATCCTTTCTAAACTGGCTATTAAAAGTTAAAAGTCACCTTTAGAAGCTAGCTTTAGTCTCCATGACTGGGTTTTATTTAAATATATTACTTCATTTCTAGCTTTTGTAGAACATAAGCTATTTAGAAAGAAACAGGGAACTCCACTATGCTGTTTTTAGACTAACATTCTCCTGGATACAACCACCTTTAAAGAACTCAAAATATATAATTGCTAGAGGGTGTTTTAAAATTAAAATCCTATTTGGACAGAAAGAACATTTTCTGTCCAGTAAATCAATTGAGTATGAGCATATTATCAAACTTAATAGTTAGCTATTAATGGTGCACAAAGTAGCTTTATAAGTAATTTAATCTTTTTTCCTTGGTTTCCCTGCTTCAGAAAATGAGCGCATCTCTTACAGATTCTGAAGAATATTTACACATTTTTTAAATTCACAGCACTATTTAAGAAACAACTTTTTTTAAAAAGTTTCATTTGCTTTCTTAAAATGACCTGAGATACGCAGTTTCCAACTCCACTAAAAGCTTTCAGTTGCTTCTGTGCATGAAAAGTCATTTCTATAGTTTATCATAATTGTTATAATTACCTTTGTCGCTTCCATAATAATAGAAGACCGTCTTACTGATAGCACACCAACGTTTCTGCCATTCAAAGCCAAGAAAACTATGATCTGCAATTAATATAATATATCACTTTATGTCATTATTGAACACAAGTATGTTACTTCTTTTCAAGGGTGAGGTAAGAAAGAGGAGGAGACAGGAAAGGCACCAAGGAAAAGAAACAAAATCTGAAGAAGAGAAACGTATGGCACTGAGAAAGAAATTAGAAATAAAAATTGGTGGTAAGAAAACAAATGGGAATTTGAAATCATATAAAAAGAGAAGTCATGTGTAACATTAAATATAAGGAAATAATGAACAACTTCCTAAATATTTCCTAGAGTTATTGCAGCATTAAGCGGGTATTAAAGTGACAATATAAGATTTATTGAATCAAGGTAAATATTGACTGAACCAAAGTTGAGATCAATATTTGCCCTCTTGAAGGAAAATAAATCTTGATGCTCACTGAAACATGAAGTCAACATATGGCACTTTTACATACATTCCTAATGTTTTCTTCAAAAATATCTGAATGTCTCTGAATTATGGCTGACAGTGGACTTTCACAGCATGATTTTTTTTAGTCAATAAAGAAATAGGATGTTCTTTTAATACTACAGAGGCAATTATGTGCTGTGCTTCTTTTGCATAATAATGCTTCAACATTTCAGTTTCTATTCCATTTTATGTATCACTCCTGTGTAAAGTTATTTGGGTGTATAACATCAAATACTGACACAGAGACTTCCAAGATATAAAATATGCACTGGTTTTCAAGAAAGATAGTTAGACTTACCTTTTCTGCGTTTTTCCAGGTATCCAGCCTTCAGAACAAACTGAAGATCCTGAGCTGCAATAGGAGGTAACTGATTCACTGAAAGAAAAATAAATTCTATTAAGCAGTGCTTTTCAAGAAAAATGTTATAGTAGCATTAATAAATTTATGGATTTTACACTCTCAATATGCAGGAGTTACAGGAAAAAATTCTAGTAACTACTACACTGGATTATTTTAAGTACAAAAACCCTCTAACTATAAATGCCAGAGCTGTTGCTGCTGTCCTCACCACTTTAGTAAGGAAAAATATAGCTGTATAGCAGACCCTGCAAATCTCAGAAGGAAAAACATGTAACTAAACAAGCTACAGCAACTTAGAAAACATTAGCTTGTGTTTTGAGTATGGTCTGTAAAGCAAGTTGGATAATGAAAGCAGTAGTTTTCAAATGTGCAAACAAAACTGCCTACTACAATTCAACACAATTAAATCAGGAATGTGATTTTCAATAGCAGCTTCATACAAAACCATCTTGAAACAACATACAAAGTGAAGATCCTCTATACCACCTACAAAACAAGAAACCAGATAAAGAGATGATAATAAAAGGTGATGCCTGCTGTTGATAGACATTGCCTAATTTGCAATATGCCAGAGAAGTACTGCCAATAGGATCTATAAGGCAATACTGAATAGACCAAAGACATTGCATGGAAGTCTATGAAACTGTTGATCTACAGATACTAACTTCAGGTTTTGTAGAACATGGCTGCATCTGCAAAATGGTGAGTATGTTCCACTCTATTTTTTTTTTTTTCTCAATTGTTATTTCATAGCTAAAAGCATGAGACCTATCAGCGGACTCTACCTCCGCTTAAAATAGAAATCTAAATGTTAAAAATTGCATCTTCCAACCTGCATCCTTCCCCTTCTAAAACAACAGAGTTATGACTTAAATGGAACTCATAGCATTAAGAACAGGAATATATTAGGTATGTGCAATAATTAGCATGTATACAAGTGTCATACTATTTACCACAAGCAGAAAAGCAGAACAAAAGCTGCTGGCTTTTTAAGTGCATGCGAGCATCACAGTGAAGTTCCTACTACTTATTATCATCAAATATTCATAAGAGTCACTATTGGTAGGTGGTAAGTTTACAAGGCAGCAATTATTCATCAAAATATATGTAATCTCATTAAGTTCTACCAATATAAACATTAAAAAAGGACCAATATCATCAGACAACTCCTGTGCTAAAAAACCACTATTTAAACTATGCAGTGTGGATTAAAGATCAATTGCCTGAGCTTGAACCAAGGACACTGTCTCTGGAAAGTGACACCAACTTCCTGGACTTTTAGATTGTCCCTTGTCTTGGTCTGAGTGAGTGGCAGGGTTTTTTGGTAGCAGGGGAGGGGGCTACAGCAGTGGCCCCCTGTGGGAGGCTTCTCAGAGCTCCCCCGGCTCCAAGTCGGACCCACCTTTCCACTGAGGCTGGGCCAATTTGCTGCACCTCTGCGATAATGTATTTAAGAAGGGGAACATGGGAGTAGCTGTGAGGAGGAGTTGTGAGAAGGACATCTGTGCGAACACCGAGGCCAGTGGAAGAACAGAGACGGGGGGGAGGTGCATCAGAGCAGAGATTCCCCTGTACTCCGTGGTGATATGGCAGGGTCAGCCCCCTACCACCCATGGGGGTCCAGAGTGGAGAAAATACTGATTTCAAGCATGTGTGGGGCCCCACACCTGGACAGGTGCTTGCACCTGAAGAAGGCCAGGACCCCATGGGACGAAGCCCCCACTGTTGTAGTTCGGCACTGAGAGGACTGCAACACGCAGGGGTGGCCCACATGCCCACGGCAGGGACTCATATTGGAGTTGGCTTGTGGAGGACTGTCTCCTGTGAGAAGGAGACGGTCAATTTTTTTAAATCTGTGTCCACGAATGAGTTGGTTTATAGTGGCCTTAAATACAGTTGTGAGAGGAAAAAGACAAGGAATAGAGATAAGAATATACAGAGAATGTGTGTCTAAAGTATGAAAATACTCAATGAGAATGCATTCCTTCAATAATACAATTGGCTCTTTAGGCAACAAAACATTTTGTTGGATACCATAAGACAGTAGATAGAATTTTATACACATTGACATTTTCACTGAATTTTCTTCATTAATATTCTTACTAGTTTTCAACTATTATTTCAGCTTCTATGGAAATCTTGCTACTGTATTAAAAATACAAGCGTTATTGTCTCCATGTGCACGCACTATAAAATGATGCAGCTGTCCCCTCTTGCTTGATAAGATGTAATCACTGCACATTAAATGAGAATTTAACACAAAGACACTTGCTGGCTGCTACTTGGTAAGTTTAGTATTTACTTAAAATGATGATCTAATGATGATATTATGAGTGGGGGAGGTGAAGAGTTTTACAAACATACATAGTGTGCTGCTTTATAATGGTCATTGGGAGGCATCAGTGTGCAACACTTAGAGCTTTACCTAAGCCAGTAGGGCTCATTTTAGAACAGTGCATCACCACAGATGTGGAAGACATAAAACCTAATTAAACAAACAAACAAAACAAGTTCACTCTTAAATTTTTTAATTTAAGAATTTCAACCACTATTTGGATCTAATTTTATACATTATTGTTTGTATCAGTTTGGGGGTTGATGAAGAAGCTTGACAAGTGATTGTTTAGTGCACGGTCAAATCAAATGGGACATATAGTCCCAGAAAAGCACATACTTTTGGGACTTCTTAATGTTATTCTGGCTGTAGGTAGAAGCTCACCTGAACTGACTGCTTCAGAGTGTCAAAATTCCACTCTCAGTTTTGCTTAGACAAGTTAGGATAAATTTGATTAGGGCACTTTCTGAAATTAGATTTATTTTGCACAGGACACTGAAAGCCTGCAAGGAAAGGAACCTGCATGGAAAAAAGGCAGTTTTCCACTCTTCTAGTGACGTTGCAGAAAGAAGTCCTCCTCCCACCCTCAACCTGCGGAGAAGCCAGTTTCTTTTTCTGTTCCTCAAAGAAACTGAGGCAGTAACTCCACAAAACAAGCAGCAGATGGTCAGGTCCACTGCTATTCACAATCTGTAAGTAGCTGAGGCAGAAACAGATCACGTGCATATTATCATCCTTCTGTCAGAAAAGCCTGAGAACCAAAAAATATGATGGAACTTCAGTGGAAGGGCAGAAGAAATGGACCCAACTGTAATATCCCAAGACACATACAGCTGTACATGAAAGAAAAAGCATAAATCTTGGGTAAATTCCTCCTTTCATTGCTCTGTTCCTCCAGAAGGAAGGGGAGGGAGAATAAGTAGTATGAAAAGTATAAAGAAAATAGAAAGAACCACCTCCTCTCAGATTCTCATTAACTGCAGGTGTTGTGCATATGTGGCAGGAAGAAGGTACAAACACAGATATACTCTTACCCCTGTACTGCGACAAAAGCAATGAGGAGAAGAAAGAAGAGAGAACTACATCGTCCCTACAGCTACTGCCTGGAGTCATCATGAAAGTCTCCTAACCTGTGTCATCTTTCTACCTTTCTTCCACTTTTTCATTGCTTTACTCTCCTATCCACATCTCAGACAGGATTTAGAGTGAACTGCAATACCTAGATGTGGGAAGCCCAACTGAAAGTTTGGGATTTGTATAGCAGGTCATTTTTTGCAGGTGCCTTAAAATGTTGTTTCTCCATTCATTTGAAATAGATCGGGCTTGGCACAAATCTCCTCCGAAAAAATATCAATAAAGCAGTGTTTTGTTATGGTAAAGAAGCATTTGTTTACATTACAGTAGCAGCTGAGATCAGAGACTCATTAGTTGACTACTGCATGGGACATTGAATAAGACAGCTCCTTCCACAAAGACTCTATTTAACATAGAGAAAGACTGTCAATAAAGAACATTACTATTTTTTTAAATAAAGAATGTTAAGCAAATTAAACAACTTGCTTCAAATCACTTTAGAGTTTAAAGCTCTGAATTCCCAAATATTATACTCCCATACATGCCCCAAGATGTCTTCACGACAAGGAAAATTTTTCCGTTCCATCATGAATGCAGATGAAATGGTCTGAATTTCAGTTTCCTTTAAGTTCACTGGAGATTGTCCACTATAAGAAATGAAATTTAAAGATGCAAGAAGATTGTATCCTAGGGATGTAAGATAGCACCTAGTGGTATTTACTTTCTTGGGGGTGTTACTGTTTGTTGCTCAGATATTTATGGCCAAGCTGACTACCAGATCCAAGGAAAATTTCTCTCCCAAAATCAGACCATGGCTTCCTACCCACTTCCTAGCCCTGTATGGTTTTTCTAGGTATGCCTCAAGGATTTAGAAATAGAGATGTTTAAAAGGCCCGTAGTCTTCCCTGATTTCTCCTTTAGTACATTTTAGTTTCTGAAGACAATTTAAAATACTAAAGTGGCACTGTAAGTCAAGAAGTGCTCTGTGGCTTGCAGCTGTGTGAGCTTACAGGTGGAAAAGTGTACTACAATTGCTCCTGTGAACCCCTCCAGACCTAATTTCTGCTGTATCATTGCCCTGACAGTGGTGGACAAGCACAGAGTTGAGGATACAAGAGCCTCCTTTCCATTCCTGAGCTTCTACCTTACAAGTAATGTCTTGAACCTTATTCTTTCGATGTGAAAATCAAATCAATTATTGCCCAATATTTGGGGAGATTATCATCTTTCATCCCCAATATACAGTATAACATGAGGGAGGTCCATCTGCTTAACATTAATGGTTTTCCTTCTTTCTTGACCATCCACTCACAGATGAATCTCCCTGAATAATTTCTCTTCTATCCTGGTGGGAATTACTTCAGTGTACTCCAAACTAAAACCTGCAAGCTATGCTCCACATGCATACTCCCAGAGTGATGAGTACAAAGGCCATCAAAGACCAGATCAAAATATTTATGAGGCCTAAACCCTCAAGTCTTAGAGAAAAGTAAATTACACATATAATGCACCAGGTTCTTCCTCTGGGTTCTAGGCACTCTTGTGCCAAGTGAACAGCTGGCAGTTATTATAATCCTACTGCTGCCAGGCTAAAAATTTCTCCAGT